AACACACCTTGTTTGTCAGTCCATTTTCCAGTTGTCAAAGTTCATCATTTAATAACACACCTTGTTTGTCAGTCCATTTTACAGCTGTAAAAATTCATCATTTAATAACACACCTTGTTTCTCAGTCCATCATTTAATAACACATCTTGTTTGTCAGTCCATTTTCCAGTTGTCAAAGTTCATCATTTAATAACACACCTTGTTTGTCAGTCCATTTTACAGCTGTCAAAGTTCATCATTTAATAACACACCTTGTTTGTCAGTCCATTTTACAGCTGTCAAAGTTCATCATTTAATAACACACCTTGTTTCTCAGTCCATTTTACAGCTGTCAAAGTTCATCGTTTAATAACACACTTTGTTTGTCAGTCCATATTACAGCTGTTCATCATTTAATAAAATATCTTGTTTGTCAGTTCATTTTACAGCTGTTCCACATTTAATAATACATGCTTCTCTCTTACCTAAGTTTGTAGCTGCCAGTCCTTTGGGAAATACAATCTGTCTTTGCTACAAGCATAGGTTCCAACAGACAATAACTGATTAAATAAATCGGGGAAGTGTAAAAACTGTCCATGAAAACCCAGTATCCTAATATCTTGTATTTGTCCACCAGTTCCATCACAACTTTGTCTACAAGACCCCTAGATGGCGTTTGTCCCTCTTTGCTTGTGTAGATTTTAAATTTAAGACAGTATCCACTCACAGCTTCTCCCAGGACCCACAACTTGATACCAAACTTGACAGGTTTCTTGGATATATACTAAAGGAAACCAATTCTACATCTACTCATCTATAGATAGCTCTCTGTTAGGAGAAGAGTGGGAAACAAAGGATTTCAGAAGAAGGTCTACAATAGGTCTTACTTTTAAAAGTTTATCATAGTTAGGAGCAGTTTTAGGTAGAGCATTAGTATTGTTATTGAAATGTAAGTATCTAAGAAGAAAAAAAAAACTGCCCCTAGATAAGATATTAGTAAACCCAAGAGCACAAAAAAGAGGATAGGAACACCAGTAATCAGGAAAAGAAGTAAGAGGCTTGAGACCAATAGTTATAGTGAGACCAAAAATGTCTTCAATATTAACATTAGTCCATTTCACAGGTTTTTTTTTTTAAACTACAGTTTCGTTGTCACTAGCATACCTATTTGTCTCACTGATCAGAAAAAAAAAAGTTTAAAAAATCAACAGAATCTATAGCAGAGGTAACCTGTTGGGAAACAGGTTCCCCTCTGAATCAAGAGAATCTATAGCAGATGTAACCTGTTGGGAAACAGGTTCCTCTCTGAATCAAGAGAATCTATAGCAGATGTAACCTGTTGGGAAACAGGTTCCTCTCTGATAATTTTGTACATTGTTTTTGTTCCTGTTCATCTCCATGTATCATTACAGGAGAGACACCTCTTCTGCTTGGAAGGAACGGCTCCAGTAGAGGCTCTAAATCTGCTCCTCTCTGCTCCGACTCTTTTTGGTGGTGGTGGTTCTTCAAGACCATCTTCTCTTAGTGAACTTGACCTGGTTCAATATTTTTAAGCCATTGACTTCTATGAAAAACTTCTGTCAGAGGCATTTCAGGAGAAGATTCAACTTCTTCAGATGCTTCTGACAGGCCTCCTTCATCAGAAGAAAATGAAATATTTAGGAGGAACTCAATTTCCTCCCGTGTCAGCTTTTTTTGCTTTTTTCTAAAGTTCAGATTACATTTCTAGAAGAAAAAAATATAAGGCTTTGTTACACATTTTCTACTGCGTATCATTACAAGTATGTTACACATTGTATATCATCACATTTCTATTGATTAGAGATGTCTGCAACTGGTAGAGCATGAATTCCCATTAATTATAACATATATAGAATCTCCCAGACTTTTGCACCTTTTGGTTGCTTGAGCAGTTCCACAGGAGTCATAAACAGGAAGGTAACAACATATACCGAGTGGTCACAAGTAAATAGACACCTAATTACTTGTGACCACGCTGTGTATTGTGCAAAAGTCTCTTGCAGCAGAAACTGTACTGCAGAGCAATATTCCCTAACCAGTATCACATATAGAACATTGGAAGTATAAGAAGAGGCTGTAACACCAAGACATTCATCTTTATATTGTTATAGAACAGCAGAAACTGTACTACAGAGCAATATTCCCTAACCAGTATCACACATAGAACATTGGAAGTATAAGAAGGGGTTGTAACACCAAGACATTCATCTTTATATTGTTATAGAACAGCAGAGCCTGGAGATATCCAGTGACAAAAACTACTACCCACATTTGGATATCTTCAAGTAACAACTGAGAGCCTGTGGATATCCAGAGACAAAAACTACTACCTAATTTGGATATCTTCAAGTAACAACTAAGAGGCTGTGGATATCTGGAGACAAAAACTACTACCTACATTTGGATATCTTCAAGTAACAACTAAGAGCCTGTGGATATCTGGAGACAAAAAACTACTACCTAATTTGGATATCTTCAAGTAACAACTAAGAGCCTGGAGATATCCAGTGACAAAAACTACTACCTACATTTGGATATCTTCAAGTAACAACTGAGAGCCTGTGGATATCCGGAGACAAAAACTACTACCTGCATTTGGATATCTTCAAGTAACAACTAAGAGCCTGTGGATATCTGGAGACAAAAACTACTACCTAATTTGGATATCTTCAAGTAACAACTAAGAGCCTGTGGATATCTGGGGACAAAAACTACTACCCGCATTTGGATATCTTCAAGTAACAACTAAGAGCCTGTGGATATCTGGAGACAACAACTACTACCTAATTTGGATATCTTCAAGTAACAACTAAGAGCCTGTGGACATCTGTAGCTCTTCATGTACTTTTTTCTTAATAATGAACAGACTGTTTGTTTAGTATAGCTTGAAATAAGAGTAAACATGCAGTCCTGGACAGGACAAGTGACCATAAAACAACAGCCACTAAAGCAAGGTTTATTAATGTCAGTTTACTGTTTATAACTACTCTTATCAGTTTAACAATTATTTTCCGTTTTTTTCACTAATACATTTAACAGTCTAAATTTATCAATGAGATTGAGTAATGAAATACAGAAAATATCAATTAAGACTGACTTAGTAGGAAATTTCTATTATGTGACGATTCCTTCACCTACCGTATTATCCATGCATTAGTTTGGGTCAGTTGCAATGATTTATGGAATTCACAAGCTTCTTGTAATCAGTCTTGGCTAGCTACATCGAGTTATGGCCTTCAGGAGCTTTCTATAAACAAACCATGCTCATTACTACATAACTGATAAATATATTTATATATATATCTGTACTATTAAAAAAATGGTAAAGCTATTATATCAAAATCTAGTTATTGGATATAAAAATCTAATACAAAGTCTCAAGAATAAGAAAGATTACTGAAGTTATGATAATATGCAATTGTAGCATATTCGTGATGTAGCAGGAACAAGATATTTAAGTTATTCTGGGTGTTGCATTTTCTTACATGTTACAGTCTATTAAATATACAATACAACAAACAGATGTTAAAAGAAATACCTACTAATACTGTTTCACAATTACACATGGCTTTTTGCCTTGATATTGGTAAGTTAACATTCCAAGCTCTCCAAAAAATTGCCAAACAAGTCCTGTATGAGCCCTAATTATCAGAAGGGGAGAAAAATGTTTACACAGAACAATACAGTTAAGTGATATATAGCAAATTAAACAAACCCATAAATTTCTCTCTTCAAGTCTGAAAAACAGGGTGCATGAATCTATACTCAATGGGATGGCAAGATTTTTTACAGCCATTTCTAGAAGGTTTTAAATAATGCCTGCTGTGAATCCAAACCACAGTTGAATTAATGTGAACACACAGCTTAAGGATCAAATTTCAGTTGTCTTACAGTTTAGAGATAACAAATACTAAAATATCTCCAAAGACTGGTGAGAAAAAATTAAATTTTATAGATATTAAGTAATTCTTAGATTGAAACATTATTTCTTGTAATTTCACTAGCTTCCTTACAGTTACTTCTAACTTTGTTTATTCCTGTCCTCCATTAATAACATTTTATCTTTAGTAATTCTTTTATTTTAGACTCTCAAGATTTTGAACTTTACACATTTCAAGCAGCTCTATTTATCACTTTGAAGCCAGGGAATAAGTGCTTTGTTATAGTTTAAAAACTGTAATTTTTGGTTAAAACAAAATATTTATCCTCAGATATTATATACATACAGACACACACATTTATGAATAATAAGCACTTAAAGCATTATTTAGACTAAATTAAAAACCCATGAACAGGATTCTCCTCGGCATATTTTGTTTAAATTAGTCCACACTCACAGATAAAGGACCTTCAGGAGATTATCTATTTTTACTTGGTTTTAAAGGGTACAGAAACTACTTGAAGATACAGTAGAGTTTATGGATCTCTTGCCACCAGACGTACACCGTCCTACCAATAGTCATGGATCTCTCTCCACCAGATGTACACCGTCCTACCAATAATCATGGATCTCTCTCCACCAGACGTACACCATCCTACCAATAGTCATGGATCTCTCTCCACCAGACGTACACCATCCTACCAATAGTCATGGATCTCTCTCCACCAGACGTACACTGTCCTACCAATAGTCATGGATCTCTCTCCACCAGACGTACACCGTCCTATCAATAGTCATGGATCTCTCTCCACCAGACGTACACTGTCCAATCAATAGTCATGGATCTCTCTCCACCAGACGTACACCGTCCTATCAATAGTCATGGATCTCTCTCCACCAGACGTACATCATCCTACCAGTAGTCATGGATCTCTCTCCACCAGACGTACATCATCCTACTAATAGTCATGGATCTCTCACCACCAGACGTACATCATCCTACCAATAGTCATGGACCTCTCACCACCAGACGTACACTGTCCCACCAGTAGTCATGGATCTCTCTCCACCAGACGTACATCATCCTACTAATAGTCATGGACCTCTCACCACCAGACGTACACTGTCCTACCAATAGTCATGGATCTCTCGCCACCAGATGTACATCATCCTACCAATAGTCATGGATCTCTCACCACCAGCCATACACTGTCCTACCAATAGTCATGGGACACACCTCTGATTGCAGGAAAATGGGTGTGACAACAAAATATCTAAACAGTTTGGCCTATGAAGGTGATAAGCGATCTGCTTGGAAATCATTTTGAACTTTTACGCTAAACAATGAGTACACGGAAAGAGCTAACAGAGTTTCAGAGGGGAAGGATAAGTAGATGCCTTTTGGGGAAAATGTCTCTACATGCTGTTGTGCAACAATTAGACATTCCCAGGTTGACAATGAGCCCAAGAAATGACCAAGTAAGCATAAAATACTGACTGACAGAAGCCGACATGCCTTGAGAAGACTGGTTACCTTATCTCGCCATCAGACCCTAGAGAACCTATGTTTGGGGATGTGAGCAGCTATAGGCAATCCTACATGTGTTTCCATGATGTGTCGAGAGCTGCATGCCATGAATTTTCATGGAAGAGCTGCAGCCCACAAGCCGTTGATAACAAAAACAAATGCACACTGTCAATTGGCATGGGGCAAAACATACCGAACCTGGATCAATAGAAATTGGTCCTGTGGAGTGATGAGTTACACTACACACTCATCCAGTCTGATGGACATGTTTGGGTATAGAGGATGCCTGGAGAATGCTTATTACCTGAGTTTGTTATCCCAACAGTGAAGTTTGGAGATGGTGGTATCATGGTTCAGGGGTGCTTCTTGTGGTATGGACTAGGTCCACTGGTCACAGTGCATGGATCCATAAATGCCAAGTCCTACACTGATGTTCTGAATAATTCTGTGTGTCCTACATTGTGGTAATTTTATGGTACCCGCCCTTACACCTTCCGACATGATACCACTCCATGTCACAAAGCAACGATTGATGAACGCATGGTTTGAAGAGAATAACATCGGAATAATTCAGTGGCCAGCACAGAGCACCAACCTCAACCTGATAAACATCTTTGGGATGAACTGGAATGCAGAATTAGGGCTAGGCCAAGATGGCCCTCTTCAGGAGTGGAGCACAATACCACCAGCTTTCTACCAGAAATTAGTCTTCCACGACGCATTGAAGCAGTCATTAAGACCAAAGGCAGGCCAATATGCTATTAATTTCTTGGAACAGACATGCTTTATTCATAACTACCCATGTCCCATGACTTTTGGTAGGATAGTGTATATACAATGAGGCATGCTGGAAATGGCAGTGTTCAATCCTTCTGCTAGTTCTTTCCATCTCTGCTTTGCTTGCTGCTGCTGGACAGCCCATCAACAGTTTCCAACAGGTGATTTCTTGCCACAAAATGTATATACACCAAGGCATGCTGGAAACAGCAGTGTTCAATCCTTCTGCTAGTTCTTTCCATCTCTGCTTTGCTTGCTGCTGCTGGACAGCCCATCAACAGATGTTAAACACAGAAGGAGTGGTAATAATTATTGTAAAAATAGAAAATTTTATTGACCCATTCTAGAAATACTGGCTTTTATGAAAAATTTTATCTTACAAGCTTATTTTAACTTTTTTTTTTGCAATTTTAGCATAAAATGACAAATGCAAAATATTGGATGATTTTAAAGAAAATCCAAAATCTTAAAAATACTTTTACCAGAGAGAGAAAATTTTACTAGAGGCACACTGAGAATTATGAGTTTCATTCAAGAAAGTTTATGCACTGTACAGAGTATTTAAAATCGATATGATACTACACACATAGATTCCATTCTTTCATCAATATGGATTAGTTATTTAAATCAAATATGTGTCAGTGTTCGAGATACTGAGAGCATCAGGGAACACTGTCCTGATTAAAAGCTTCATTTAGGGATAGGCTTGATGTGGTGGTTGAGAATGACACAAACATCTGTATACCTACAAGATATTTAGGCCTAATCTAGACATTAGCATTTTTCAACACTGGAAATGTATTTCCAATAGACCCTAAGATCTGATCACAAAATAGCTTTTCTCAACTAGCACCACCCTCTATCTGTACAAATTTTCAATGCACAACAGAAGCCTTCCACCTCCCACTTCTGTATATCCATATGGAAATGATCAAGCAGCAGCTCTCCACTAATAGGAGCACGACATCACTCCTATAGTAACCAGCATGCTTTTCACATCTGCACTTGTTAATCACTGAGATTGGTCAGAAGACCTAAACTATATATCATAAGAAGTGGGGAGGCTGGGCGGGCAATGTGAGTAGAGGTAAGTATCTATCAGAAATACATTTTCAGTGCAAGAAAATGGTAACTTCCAATACAAGATCTTACCTCTTCTCACAAAATATCTAAAATCACACATTGAACTGGTGGAAGGCCAATAAAAAAAATTATCCCCTATAGGAAGCACCCAAAGAGAGACCAGGAGGTGTGGAACCAAAAGAGAAAACATCACACTTCAGCAGGAGACCACATCACATCTGATTTAGGTATACACTCTGCTCTTTCATGACAGTGTTGCGAACATAAAAGGCAAAAAAACATGAATATGTATGACCAATGAATGAGACTCCTGGGTG